TAACATATTTGTCTACATATTTTGCTGTAGGCGATCCCATTTTCGAACTCCATCAGACATAACTTAATACAATATGAAATTTCAATCTTCCTTTAATTTGTTCTCAAGTTAGCTTTTTGTAGTTAACTAAAAGTTATACATATATTTTATCGAAATCCCGCAAAAACTAACTAATTACAAGTGGGTTAGTTTTTTTTTTATCAATTATCAACACAGAGATACATAGCAAATACTCTGCAGAACTAGACCTTTTGCCGACAGTACTAGTTCTAGCTCAATACCCAAGCAATGTTTTCAAGAGTGCATTACTGTGCTACTAGTTTTTAACCGGTTCCGTTTTGGACTGTTGTTTTATAAGACAACGTTTTCCGTTTTTTCTTTTCTTTTACAGATTCCATGTTTGTTGCAAATTTTATAAAAAAAACTTATTGTAAGCCGGTCGCAACAAGTTAAATTCATTAATCTGAAAACTCACAATTGCCTCCACCGCGATTTGAACTTGCGGACAAAGATGCTTGAGTCGGAGGTCTTCTCGCTGGGCTACTTTCATATTGTACGAGAAGTGAGAATTTGCACACTTACACCGCAAGTTGCACCAGTTCAGAGATAGTTCTGAAATATGTAGTTCGGAACTAGCGCTTTGCCAGACTGCCTCTAAATTTTACTGCAGGGTGTGAGTGTGAATATGTATGTATAAGAGGTGCATGTAGCTAAAGGAATTCCTAAACAACTTGTGCATTCCTACTACGCGCACAAAGCAATGCTGTTTCTCCCTTTCGAATCGATTTAAAGTGCAAGATAGTTGGATTTTTAAGCATAAGTACTCAACATTTTTGCTTTCAGGAATATTGCTACATACAAACATATGGATATGTATCAGGGATTGGCATTGGTTGATCGTCAACTGTTCATACTCATTCAATACCGCTGCTTTGTATGACTGAGCAGCGGCGTTGGCTTAGTAGTATCGATACCTAAACGAAATTATAGGATGACTGAAAACGAGCGCATTGCGTGCTGTCTTGCAAATACAGCCACCACAAGTGAACGATGCTTATAACTGCTCATACTGATATTGACTTCGGCAAATCTGTACTCTGAATGATCGTGCACTAAACCAACAAACGTGGCAGTTGAACGGCTCCGAAAACATGAGAGTCATCATTTGTTGCAGAGGTCGTTTGACTTGTTGCTGAAAATCATCTGACTTGTTGCTGAAATCCATTTGACTTGTTGCTGAAATGACGACGAATGTGGTAAAGGGTAATTTATCGTCTCGTATGCATTCAATTGCATTGCTCACTGCTGGCTAGTTGTGAATATGCATACGTACGTAAGTATGTATGTATGTACATATCAATGCTTCATTTCAAACAAGCAAGTGCCTTTGAATGTTTTTGAACTACAGTATCATCACTTCGGCAACACGTCAAACGCGCCTTCAGCAACAAACCAAAGGCGGCGGTTTGACTTCTGCAACAAATCAAGTTAGCTAACTGCGGCATCTTGCCTTCGCCAGTCTTTCACATAAGCTGTCATGCTTTCAGCAACCGTCCAAAGCAGTATCGTGCTTTTGGCAGTCGATCAAATACGGCGGTTGCTGGTTTCGTGCACGATCATCGGAGTACAGATTTGCCGAAGTCAATATCAGTATGAGCTGTTATAAGCATCGTTCACTTGTGGTGGCTGTATTTGCAAGACAGCACGCTTTGCGGTGGTGTTCGTTCATCCTCCGTTTTTAACGTGAGTAGGCTTAAAGTCACAAAAACAGCACCCTTTGCCAATCCCTGATATGTATGTAAATACGTACATGCATTTATTTAGTATGGATGGCCACAGAAGGAAAAGCACAAGCGATAATGGCATGTGTGTGCATATGTGAATGCCGACGATACAAGTCGGCAAAGAAGCTAACAACAAGACCATCATGCAAATGTTGGGGGATAGCAACGAATAGATATGCAGCAATGTGTGGCGAAAATTAGCATATTTTAAGGATGTGCATACCCACTCAACATTTGTTTTGACTTTATTGAATTTTTTTGGGGTCAATGTGTTGGTAAAGTCGCACGCATCGTAAATGGGACAAATGGCGTGCAAAAAATTTATTTTTTATTGCACGAATCAATTTCTGAGATTCGATTAAGAATATTTCATTAAACGGAGCGTGATTGAAGAAAACAATATGTTAAATCTATTAAATTTTAACTTCAGTATTAAATCAATATTCAAATAAATAGAAAAAGTTAAATATTCCAAAAAGTTATTTGCTTAAAATTAAAGACTCGTACAAGTGTTATGGAGTTTATTCAACTGTCATGGACGAGTACGACCATACGTTTTTGAAGAGAAACTTCTTTTGGTTGGAAGTAAATTGACAAATTCAACGGAAATCGCACACGGCTGAGTGGTAGATGGACCTATCTCGGTAGCCAGTTCGAAAACGCCCTATCTCAGAAAATTTTTCAACAACGCTCTACTTCAGAATTTGATTGAAAAACGCCCTATCTCATAAGTTGGAAAGGGCTCGGGCTCCGTGAGGTTTGTAGCAAAGAAAATTTTTAAAAAATGACTAGGGTCTCGAGATACAGACCAAAACGTGGACCCGGGTAAACTTAGGCTGTATTTGTTTAATATGGGCATAAAATGAAAGCTGTTATGTCAAAAATATGCGGAAGCAAATAAAAAAAAAATTAAAAAATTCATGAATACCGTTTTTGTGAAAATTAAAATTGTGTAATGCGGACAGTTCTTTAATCTTCTTTAATATAAAAATTAATATAAAAATAAGTAGGGTTTTCCTTCCGGACGCTATAACTCCAGAATGCACGAACCGATTTCTACGGTTTTGCATTCGTTGGAGGTTTATAGCTAAGAAAATTCAGGAAAAATGTCAATAGAAAAGTATATGGTGTGTGAGTATCCCTCACGAAAATAAGTATGTTTCATTTAAAGTAGATGGTGCCGGTGCGTGAAACATTGTTTAACAGCTATTCATTGTACTTTGCTCAGTTAATTTCATGTCACATTTATTATACGCACCTTCTTTCAAACGCTAACTTAAAACCGGTATTGTGTTCACTGTGAAATTGAGGTTAAAGTTCTTCGTTTCGTAACAGTTAAATTGGAAAACAATCAAATCAATTACGCGTATTGTGCAAATTTTTATTCAACTTCAACAGCAGG